AGATAGATAGATAGATAGATAGATAGATAGATAGATAGATTTTTATCCTGCCTTTATTACTTTATAAGTAACTCTATCTGGTGAAGTTATCTAATACCCCTTCCATCTCCTATTTTCCCCACAACAACAGTCCTGTGTAGTGCGTTGGGTTGAGAGAGACCCAAGGGATGGATGGACGGACGGACGGATGGACAGACGGACAGACAGACAGATAGACAGAAGATACATATGGCTGGAGATAGATAGATAGATAGATAGATAGATAGATAGATAGATAGATAGATAGATAGATAGATATGGGTGAAGACTGATGGAGATAGATAGATCTGGACCCTAGAGATGGATGGATGGATGGATGGATGGATGGATGGATGGATGGATGGATGGATGGATAGATAAATAGATGAGAAAGAGTGAGAGAGATACAGACATAGAGACACAGATAGATAGAGACATAGACAGACAGTGTAAATGAGTGGATGGATGGGCAGATGGGTAGAGAGACAAAGAGAAAGAGAGACAGACAGACAGACAGAAGCTACATATGGCTGGGGATAGATAGATAAGGGTGAAGACTGATGGAGATCGATAGACATCTGGAAATTACCAGAAAATAAGATTACGTTGTATTGTATTACCAATTAGTTGATGTAAGATGGTGAGAACTCAAATAGATAAGACGTGTATTTTGAACATTAAGTCTTGTGGTGAATTGTGATAAAGGGAATTGGGGCTATTTAAAATTTGGAAATTATAAATACCAAACGCGGAATATAAATATTAGTGGGAAACCAAAAATTGGGGAAAATTAACCAGGACATTAACTGTCTAAAAAGATGGAATGTTAAGACAACTAGGATATGTATAAACTAAAAATTATTGATAAATGCAGGAAAGTTATTTTTTATTTAATTGATATAATAAGAATTGTACTAATTTGAAGATGAGACAGTAAATACTAAAGGGAAAAGAGGAGAAACACTTTATGTAATAGTTTGAGATGGGTACTAAAGATATTTGTATGTTATTGAATTATTGACCAACTCAGCCGCCATGTTGCTTTTCCAACACTTAAATGTAAAACTAGAAAAGCAATAACATTTTCTAAAAAAAAAAAAAAAAAGAGTTGAATGCCACGTCCTCTATATAGAATTTTTTTCCCCTTTTAATCATTATCCGTGAATTTCTCTTTGTATAGTTAATGCAGTTAATCTGAATTAAGGCCTTTGCTATCCTTCGCTTTCTTGACGCTTTTCCTTGGCCCATTTATTAAATTTATATGCCACTCAGAGTGACTCTCCAGAACTTTAATAGCTCGGTAAGACGAGGGAAAAAAAAAAAAAAAACCTCTTTCTTTAAGAGTCGCAAGCAAGGCAGAGTCACTTCAAGAAGGAGGCACCATTTAACTTTAATGGCTTCTGCTTTTATTGGAAGGTTTACAAGAACGGGGTCTTTCAGCCAAGCATCATTTCCTTTTCTTTAAATTTCCTCTTAAATTCTCCCGTGGTCGTGAATCTTTTTGGAACTATCAGAGATGTTGTAATATCACGCCTGGGAAGGATACGGTATAAAAATGAGTGATATTCTTGTAAGGCTGGCTGGTAATTCTTGGGACTGCCACAAAGATGGTGACAGAAACATGGAAAGAAATTGGCAGAAGGCTGTGTGCAGTTTCAACGTTGTAATGAACGCTTTCTAACTGGCTTTTTTTTTTTTTACAAATTTTATTTATAATACAGTTAAAAACAAACAAACAATGGATTTAACGTGACATTCCAGTATATACATTCTTGTCAGATTATTCCACTTTTTACAATCAATTCTTCATCTCTACATATACATCTAAGTTTTATATACAATACTTGTTCTAAAACAGTGGTTCTCAACCTTTCTAATGCCGTGACCCCATAATACAGTTCCCCATGTTGTGGTGACCCCCAAGTGGGTGTGGCCACCAATAAGAGGGAGTAGGACAGCTAGGGAAAAGGGAACAAAATGGTGGACAGCGTGGTTTGGTGACCCCCGTGAAATGGTCATTTGACCCCAAATGGGGTCCCGACCCACAGGTTGAGAACCACTGGTCTAAAATAACATATATTTCTATCTTAACATTCATCTTTAATCCCGACCGTCCTCTTCAAATTCCTCCAGCGGTAGAATTTATCCCAGGTTTCATAATAAATTGATCCACATTTGTCTTTTAATATCCTTGTGAGCCTGTCCATTTCCGCACATGCTAATATTTATGTATTAACTCTTCCTCTGTGGGAATTCCCTTGCTCTTCCATTTTTGCACAAAGGCAAGCCTAGCTGCCGTCAGGACGTGTAGCAGCAGGTAGATTGTTCCCTTGTCATATTTTTCTGTCGTTATTCCCAACGAAGAGAGTTCAGGTTTTAACTCTAAGTCCAGTGTTAATATATCCCTCAACCAGTTTCGTGTCCTGTTCCAATACTCACGGATCTTTGGGCATTCCCACCACATCTGGTAGTATGAACCTATTGCTGTTTTATATTTCCAGCACAGGGGTGAGATGTTTGAACCCATGTTGGCTAGCCTTACGGGTGGGAAATGCCATCTATAAAACATCTTGTACAGATTTTCCTTATATGAGGTAGCTAAGGTGAGTTTCCTATTCCTTTCCCACAGTTCTTGCCAAATATGCAGGTCGATATTGAAACCAAAATCCCTACTCTTAACTTGCTTTTGTTTTTAGGCTACTAATTTTACAGACGTAGAGGTTACTTTGTAGGTTTACAGAAGCTTAACTTTCAAGTCCCAAGGGTGCTTTTTTTTTTTTAAGGCAAATTGGACTTTCTCTGATTTCCTTGAAGACATTTCTCATCCAAGAAGCTTTTTCAGTTGTGTTCCCCAGTTCTCTAGTTCTCCAGAACTGAAGAAGCTTCTTGGATGAGAAGAGAAATGTCTTCAAGGAACTGGACTTTGAGACCATCAGGACCTGGGTGACTGAGAACTCCATAGACTCCAAAGACCAGGGGTCTTCAAACTTGGCCTTTTTGTTACTTGTGGACTTCACCTCCCAGAATTCCTCAGCCAGCGTGCCTTTTATGACTTGTGGACTTCAACTCCTAGAATTCCTCAGCCAGCGTGCCTGGCTGAAGAATTCTGGGAGTTGAAGTCCACAAGTCATCAAAGGGCCAAGTTTGAAGACCCCTGCCATAGACCTTTGAAGGTTGTCACAGGGATTGTAATCTGCATAAAGTGGAGCAGCAACACTCGTTTTATCATAATAAATCTTTGATTCTGCAGATCTAGGCTCGGTGGGTTTCAAGCAGACCAGAGGAAAATCTGAATCTCGGTTAAAGATAGACTTCAGCCAAGCAATAGACAAGGTCTGTTGTTTGCCAAACCAATTTGGGCAATGTTTGAATTCATTTGCACATTAAGAACGCTTGACCTACATTCCATAGATTTTTACATGCAGGTGTAAAAAAATCCCATTCACATTAGCAGATGGGCTCAGAGGAAGCAGCACCTCTTCCCATGCACAAATGGGTTAAGTCAGTGATGGCGAACCTTTTAGAGACCGAGTGCCCAAACTGCAACCCAAAACCCACTTATTTATCGCCGGGTGCCAGGTGGGCGTGGCTGTGGTGGGCATGGCAGATTAGATGGGTGTGGCCAAGGTGGGCATGATCACCTCAATGTTGCTTGTGGGGAGGGACGCTTATGGGGGCCGGGCAGGGTTGGGGGAGATCCAAGGGGTCTCTGGGAGGTGGGGCAGTGGGCAGGAGGCTCATCCTGCGGGGTGAGGCGAGGCAAGGTGAGGCAGGGCGGAGGTGCGATTGTCACAGGGCAAGGTGAGGCAGGGGCCAGGGCGGCCGCTGCCTGACACCATCGGCCCCTGCACACAGAGGCCAGCGAGCGCATGGGTGCTGGGATACATCCAGCCATGTGGGACCTCGGTGAGTTAGCGGGTGGCTGGTTGAAGAGGAACGGTTGCCATCTCCGGGGCATGGCGCGCATGCCCACAGAGAGGGCTCTGAGTGCCGACTCTGGCACGCGTGCCATAGGTTCGCCACCACTGGGTTAAGTCAAGAGCAGTGGTTCTCAACCTTTTTAATGCCGCAACCCCCAACCGGTCGTAAGTCGAGGACTACTCAACCAGTCGTAAGTCGAGGACTACTCAACCAGTCGTAAGTCGAGGACTACTCAACTGGTGCAGCACTGTTTGCAGACTGGGGCTTTTGGCGGGCTCAGCAGGGCAGAGACAGCCTGGACAATTCCTATTGGCTTTTGAAAGCCAATAGAATTAGAATCTATTCAAGAGAGTCTATTCTATTGGCTTTCAAAAGCCAATAGAATAAAAGGGAGTAGCACAGCTAAAGAAAAGGGGGGAAAAATGGTGGACTGCGTTGTTTGGCGACCCCCGTGAAATGGTTGTTCGACCCCAAATGGGGTCCCGACCCACAGGTTGAGAACACTGATCAAGAGTGTATTGTTGAGTACTGGATGGTCCTGTCTGATTAAATGTCAGTGGAGATTCTCAGTCACCCAGGTCTTGGTTGTCCCAAAGGTCTTTTTTTTTTTTCAGGAGGCAACTCAACTTCACAACTCAACTTCCTTGTGTTTCTTTTGAAGACGTTTCGCTTCTCATCCAAGAAGCTTCTTCAGCTCTGGCTCCCCCCACGCACAGCTTCCACAACACCGTCCTTTCAGCAGTTCCCAAAAAGGCTCCATGCCCATTTGCACCACTCCGGTGACCCTGAGGACACAGGCAAACCTCCAGGAGGCCTCAACAACCAAGAATGCAAATAACCAGCTGTCTGCAAGGAGTATAAATCCTTCCACTCCCCCACTCCTGTCAGAGCTGAAGAAGCTTCTGGGCTGAGAAGCGAAACGTCTTCAAAAGAAACACAAGAAATTCCAATAGCCTTCTGAAAAAAAAAAAAAAGGATCTTTGGGTCCTGTCTGATTAATGACTAATAATGTTTGCTGACTCCATGCATTTTTCTCTCCTTCTTTTTTTCCCCCTCTCCAGCACGGCTCCTTTTCCCCCGCAGATCTTGCAGGTGGATTTTGAGATGGAAGCACTCACCGAATTGCCAGGGATGCAGTTTATTACGTGGCAGGTTGAATATCCTGGAGGAAGGACGTCTGACCTCAGCATCTCCAAGATTTATGTCAGCCAGAAGGATCTCGTTGGCATTCTTCCCTTAGCTATGGTATGATAAATTATTTCTGCTCTTGGTTTGGGGATCACAACCATGTTAGCTCATCCACGATGTGGATAGACCAGAGTTGAATATAACAAAAATGTTCTTGCTTTCCAGTCTCTGGACTGAAGGTGAAGGTTGAAATTTGGGTGTGCTCTAGATTATTTCTCTTACCTTACGATGCTTTGGGCGGTTAAGGAAGAGCAAATGAATTCAGAAGAATAGTAGATAAAACAAGGTGGAAACCTAGTTGAACTGGAGGAGGGTTCTCTTCTTGGTTTCAGGATATTGGACATTATTTTTGACTTTCCCTGTTTACGCTAATGTTCTGCAGAATTGTAGATCTTCTCCTACTGTCTGTCAGAGACCTAGATGTCCTGCAGTTCAATTTCTCCCATGTTCTGTCCATCATTCCTGCAATGATCGCTCCATCGCTAACATTGAACGCTTCTCTGTTCTGTTAGGAGATCTTTCTAGTGATATATCTTGGCATTGTCGGTTATAGATGTTCTCTAAGCTTGGTTTTTCATTTGTCCAGTTGTTTGGTTGCTTCTTGGAGAATCGAGACTTGTTTGTTGGTTGTGGAATATATCATGGCTGGAATATGTCAGGCATGAAAGACCAAGTTCACACATGAAGATTCAATCAAACTGATTTATTGCTAAAAGTCCATGCATGGGAATCTTCTCAACTAACCATCTGCACCTGCTAAGAGTGTTATAAAGGCCAACAGCACTCAAGGGGGGTTGGACTTAGTTCCCTTGTGACTATGTAGGGATTCTGAGCTTATTCCTCTTTTCACTCCACCTCCAAGTTCTGCCATCTCTTCTACAGTACGTAATTAAGTGGACTATGCTGCTTGGTGTTGTTGTTATCTAAGCGAGTGACCATGTCACGATCTGCTTCTTGTTGAGCTGATTCAGTGCCAACTTCATTTCTTCTGGGTGGTGATTACTAGTCCTGTGGTAAAGGGAGATGTTGTAATCTGAAGATGTCCGCACTTCTGGTGGTGAATGGAATGATCCATAGATGTCATCCAAGTCTAAATGATCCCTGATCCACCAGAGTAACAAGCTTCTAATTCATTCTTTGACTGTCCCTGGCTTAGAAGTACAACTTAGACATTGGATCAACCAATTGGAAAGATTTCAGGCAATAGGAGTTAATCGACAAAAAAGGAAGGTGGCTAAACAACAAATGGCTTTGTCTTACCCTTACCTTTCCTTTTTGATATATTTTGTTAGGACATCACCTCGACTCTCCTTGAATTTATTAGGCCTAGGAGATAAACAACTAACAATATTCCCTTAGAGTTCTTTCTAGGAATGTTTAGAGGTTGAGCCAGCTGGATTTTTGCATTTATCTAGTATTTGGAAGGATTGACTGTCCCAATTTAGGTACGAGGGAGACAGAGCTCTTTGATCTTCTGACTGGTAGCAGGTGAACACTTTAGATATCTGTGTATTATCCTTCTGAAAATGGAAAATAGAATGGAATAGAGCTGGAAGGGACCTTGGAGGTCTTCTAGTCCAGCTCCCTGCTCGAGCAGGAGAACCTATACTGTCACAGACAGGCGAATGTCTAGTCTCTTCTTAAAAACCTCCAGTGATGGAGCGCCCACTATTTCTGGAGGCAAGCTGGTTGACTGTCCTCACCGCCAAGAAGTTTCTCCTTAATTCCAGGTTGCTTCTCTCTTTGATCAGTTTCCAACCATAGTTTCTCATCCTTCCCTCTGGTGCTTTGGTGAACAACCTGACCCCCTCTTCTTTGTGGCAGCTCCTCAAATATTGCTATACCCCTATTTCTTCTTTTCTTTAGACTAGCCCAGTGGTTCTCAACCTGTGGGTCGGGACCCCAGTTGGGGTCGAATGACCATTTCACGGGGGTCACCAAACAATGCAGTCCGCCATTTTTCCCCCCTTTTCCTTAGCTGTGCTACTCCCTTTTATTCTATTGGCTTTTGAAAGCCAATAGAATAGACTCTCTTGAATAAAGTCTAATTCCACTGGCTTTCAAAAGCCAATAGGAATTGTCCAGGCTGTCTCTGCCCTGCTGAGCCTGCCAAAAGTCCCATTCTGACCGGTTGGGTAGTCCTCGGCTTACGACCGGTTGGGGGTCGCGGCATTAAAAAGATTGAGAACCACTGGACTAGCCAAACCCAAGTCCCACAGCCGTTCTTGGTATGTTTTGGTCTCCAGGCCTTTGATCATCTGAGTTGCTCTTCTCTGATTTTTTTTTTCAAAACTCTCAACATGGCCCAAGCTAGGGCCTCTGATTTTTCCCAAAGGCCTGGTGACACACGCCTTAGTACAGTAAATCCAAAGAAACAGTAGAAAGCTTTGTTTAATGATCACCACACTCCTTTAGCAACCGTGCTATTCTCTTAATGACCACCACAAAGGAGGTTGTAAAATCAGGCACAGCCACGTGGTATTTGCTTAACGACCTGTCCGCCTTACCATCGTAATTCCAGCCTTGTATGTCAGGAATACCTGTACTGGGAAATTCATTGCTTCAACAAACACTAATATCTGAGAGAAGGAAAGTAAGGAACAGGTGACTTCCAATTCTTAGCTTCCATATCACCCAGATGTAAATATAACTTGGTAATAATGAAGGACTCCAATGATAATTTTCCAACCATTGAGCTTGGATTATTTGGATAAACAGCTGGATGGGTCTCCTTTCCCATGAAATTCTGAAGAAGCCAGATTTTTCAATGCCCGTAGCATGCGCTTAAGAGGTGAACATCTATTAGGTATGTATGTATATGAGTTTTGGGGGAGATTATAATAGGAACTGGGTGGTTGCCTAGTAACAGGCTGTTAATTATTATGCTTCGAGTCAAGGTGGGGGAGATGTTTATGCTTTTCTTGGAGACCACCAATGAAATTTGCCAACTTTAAAAGTCGCCTTTGGGCTTTAATGACCGAGCCAATTATTGCAAGGGTTGATTATTCTCTTATTTAAAAACTAAACCAAACAAAAACATTTATCATGCTGGGTTGGTTGAATTATTCTAACCCAAGCAAGGGATTTGGCAATTGGGATGTTCAATACTGTAAGGCATAGAATGTAGAATAATAGTATTGGAAGGAACCTTGGAGGTCTTCTAGACCAACCCCCTGCTCAACCAGGAGACTCTAGAACAGGGCTTTTCAACCTTTTCATCCATTGTACTACTTTTAGGATATGGCAACATCCGAGTATCACCAGTCGCCTAGCAAGGCGTCAAAAACTTGATGACCAAAAAAAAAAAAAAAAAAGGAAAAAAGTGATAAAGTGCAGGTAGTTCTCAACTTACAACAGTTCGCTTAGTGACTGTTCAAAGTTACAATGGCACTGAAAAAAGTGCCCCCCAAGCCACAGCCGAGCAAGACACCTGCCTGCCCACCCGGTGGCGCTCTTCCTCCTGTCTGAAATTTTCATTGTTGTGAGCATTTCTGTTGAGGATTGGCAGCGGGGATGGAGTGGGGGGTGTTTGGTTTTTATTCCCCCCTCCCGTTTGCTGGGTGGTTGCAGCAGGTTTTGGTCACTTCACATGACCCTGGGAGACTGTGACCGTCATAAATATGAATCAGTTGCCAAGCATCTGAATGTAAATCACAAGACCCTGGAGATGCTGCAACATTCCAGCTGATCGGCGCTTCTTCTGAGCTCAGCAGAAGTGCCAGGATCAGTGCTGCTTTCCAGCTGATTGGTGCTTCTTCAGGGCTCAGAAGAAGGGCCAGGATCAGCGCCAAGCTCCATCTGGAACCTGGCGCTGATCCTGGCGCTTCCGCTGAGCCCTGACAGCCCTGCTGCTCCAGCCATCTCTTGCTCAGGCTTGTGCAGTGCTGCCACCAGTTCAGCTCATTCCCCTCCCCCGCTACCACTTTTCTAGGATGGTCGCGTACCACCTGCCAGGTGCCAATGTACCACCTGTACCACTGGTTGAAAAGCCGTGCCCTAGACCATTCCCAATAAGTTTTACAGGCATTCACAGATCTTTTCTGAGACTCGTGGACACGGCTCTGGTGTGCTTGTGGTGTGCTTGTGCTGATGAGAAAGCAAGCAGAGTTTGCATTTAGAACATAGAATGTAGAATAATAGGGTTGGAAGGAACCTTGGAGATCTTCTAGTCCACTCCCTGCTCAAGTAGCAGAACTTATACAATCCCGGTCATATGGTTGTCCAGTCCAGTCTGAAAATTCTAATGATGGAGACTGAGATATGTATGAAAGTGGCTGTCCTTGTTGGGAGCTATTCCAGAAGAAGTCCTTCCATTAAAACAGCCTGCTCGAACACTCTGAGTCAAGCTAAGAATCTTCCAGAATCATCATCGTTGTATGGTCTGGGCCAGGAACTGTAGACATGAATGAGTTTTTCACACATTGTGTCAACCTCCAGCTTGAATATCCAAATCAAAGTCCAGGATTACTTTCATTTCTGAAAAGCTTACTGGTTTATTGAATACATGGCATGGTACAGGGAAAGGAAAACTAACTCTAAAATCCCAAGGCATCAAACCATAGCATAGAACATTGACATTCCCAGCCAAACCCCCAAGTGTCCACGTAGCTCTTGTAAATAAAGTCTCTTTGTTATGGGAACCATCTGCTATCTTCTTCACACCTGTTAGAATGTCCTTGAAAGGTTTCCAGACAGTCATCTCTGCACAAATTCCCGAAGAACTGGAGAGGTTTCATTTCTCTAACTAACCCAGTCCAAACCATCATCTCTCCCCTCACTTTACTCTAATAGCAAGATAAAAACAAAGAGGCATGTAGCTGCCACATTTTCACTCTTGACGCATTGGCTAAGATAATTTTTATGTATTCCATTCCTGTAGTTGCCCTCTCACGCAAGTGACTGTGATGTGTCTGGTTAGCTTTAGTTTAAGTGTGGGATGCCGATCCAGCCAGTGTGAAATTTAATCCATATTTATCATGTAGCTGTCATGGTTCCGATAGACGAAGCCAATTAAAAGAACTTTGAGGCAAAGATTTCTTCCTGGAAGAACATTTTAT